TTTTTTGGGCTGGCATGTCAACTACACAACGAAGTGAAAGTATGAATGCGTTTTTTGATGGATATGTAAATCCAAAAACTACATTGAAGCAATTCGTTGAACAATATGACAATGCCTTGAGAAATAAGGTAGAGAAAGAGAAGAAAGCAGACTTCAAGTCTCGACACAAATTGTTTGATTGCCTAACTATATACGGGTTTGAGTGGGTCTTAGATGTTAACTCATTTCTTCAGAAGAATGTGAAATTTCCTCCTCCTCCACCATATCAGATTACTAGCTCTCATCTATCCTCAGAATTCTTGTAATTTTGGTCTGTCTGGTTTTGCTCTGCTCTGTCATATTACTAGCTCTCTTGTGAAATTTCCTCCTCCTCCACCATATCAGATTACTAGCTCTCATCTATCCTCAGAATTCTTGTAATTTTGGTCTGTCTGGTTTTGCTCTGCTCTGTCATATTACTAGCTCTCTTGTGAAATTTCCTCCTCCTCCACCATATCAGATTACTAGCTCTCATCTATCCTCAGAATTCTTGTAATTTTGGTCTGTCTGGTTTTGCTCTGCTCTGTCTCTGTCCATCAATCTGGTTTATGAGGTAAAAAATCAATTTCATATGCTAATCTTTCAGTTATATGCTAATTCTGAAATATGAAATATAATCTGTAAACTATAATCAATCTGTCATTTTGGACAAGAGTTATGTTTTTTAGGTAAATATGTTAACTGTGGACAAATCTGTTAACTGATCTGACTAACTTGGCTACACTAGATTGACATAGTGAAACATCACCATTAGTGAGTTGGCTCTAGGTGGTAATCGTCACTGAGTTCCAACTCCGGCACTCTGTTTGGCTACAGTCCGTGGGCCTCCAGCCAAGAAAGGCATGCTTGGTAGCAAAAAGATAATCTGGGCATTATGCTCAACTAGAATATGCATGAAATTGTATCCCTCAACATTTTATTTGCAACCATAGCACCATTTTAACCAAATACAATTTAGTTAATTTTTATGAGTAATTGTGCTCAACTGTGGTAGCAAACTTCATAATCTGTAATCTGTAAGCTTGGTAGCAAACTTCATATAATTTCCATAATCTGTAAACTGTGTAGTTCCATAATCTGTAAACAGTTTATATAAAATCTGAAATATGAAGTTTAGTTCCATAATCTGTAATGATATTTGTTTAATTGTTATTTCAGTACGCAAAGAGGAGAAATGGAGGTTGATTCAAATGTTGAAGGTGAGAATCCTTTAATAAATGAGGGCAAACACGTTGAAGAACCTAAAAAGGGTATGTGTTTTAGCTCAAGGGAAGAGGTGTACACATTTTATGGCAAATATGCTAAGCATGTCGGATTTGCTATAGCTCATAGAGCACAACATTTTGGAGATGATGGGCAATTGCTAAACTTTGCAATTGAATGTTCTCGAGCGGGGCAGAGAAGAAAGACATCAGAACTCAACCCTCTGAAGCCATGTTTGTCCACAAAAATTGGTTGCACAGCAAGGGTACGAGGTAGTGTACAAAAGGATGTGAGATATAAACTAACCACAGTTAACCTTGAGCATAATCATGATTTGATTCCCACCGACTCACGTCATTTTGCAATGAATAAGAAAATTCTTACTCCTGTGAAGAGAAGATTAGAAATTAATGACGAAGCAGGGATTGGGGTGTCTAAGAACTTTCATTCAATGGTTGTCGAAGCAGGGGGATACGAGTCATTGACATTTGACGAGCGAGACGCAAGAAATTACATTGAGAGAGCTAGAAGGCTGAGGCTTAGAGAAGGTGATGCCGAATCACTTCAAAGTTATTTTATGAGGATGCAAGCACATAGTAAGAGATTCTTTTATGTGATTGATATTGATGAGGAGTTTCGCATTAGAAACTTGTTTTGGGCTGATGCAAGGAGTCGAGCGACTTATGAAGCATTTGGAGATGTTGTTTCATTTGACACAACTTATTTGACGAACAAATATGACATGCCATTTGCTCCATTTGTCGGAGTTAATCACCGTGGTCAGTCCATTTTGCTTGGTTGTGGATTGTTGTCTAGTGAAGACACTAACACATTTGTTTGGCTATTCAAGTCATGGTTAAGTTGCATGTCAAATCATCCGCCAAAAGCTATCATAACTGATCAGTGTAGAGCTATGCAAAATGCTATAAAAATTGTGTTTCCGCAAACTCGACATCGGTGGTGCTTATGGCATATCATGAAGAAAATTCCAGAGAAGTTGAAAGGATATGCTCAATATGAAGCCATAAAGTTGGCTATGCAAAATGCAGTTTATGACTGTTTGACAAGAGCTGAATTTGAGAGTAAATGGGAAGAGATGCTTGCAACATTCAATCTTTATGATAATGAGTGGTTGGGGGTACTATATGATGAGCGGAATCGATGGGTACCTGTTTATGTTAAAGACATTTTTTGGGCTGGCATGTAAACTACACAACGAAGTGAAAGTATGAATGCGTTTTTTGATGGATATGTAAATCCAAAAACTACATTGAAGCAATTCGTTGAACAATATGACAATGCCTTGAGAAATAAGGTAGAGAAAGAGAAGAAAGCAGACTTCAAGTCTCGACACAAATTGTTTGATTGCCTAACTATATACGGGTTTGAAAAACAATTTCAGCAAGCCTACACCAATGCGAAATTCAAAGAAGTTCAAGGAGAGTTGAAGAGATTAGTTTACTATCAAGCCTTGATTGTCAAAGAGGATGGATCAATTTGTACATATAATGTCCAAGAAGCGATGGTAGTTTCTGAGAAGATGAAGCATGTGGACTTTGTTGTCTATTTTAATTCAACTGAATGTGAAGTTCAATGCATATGTCGGTTGTTTGAGTTTAGAGGCATTATGTGCACTCACTCACTCGCTGTGCTTGTCAGAAGATGCATAAAATGAGGTGCCAAGTAAATACATTTTGCCCCGGTGGAGAAAAGATGTGGATAGAGAATACGCAAGCATCAAAACCACATATACCGGCTTTGGGAATGATTTTAATGCAAGTACCTATGAGAGGATGAACAAAAAATTGATTGCCATTGTACAACTTGCTGGTAACTCTGAAGGCAAAACTAGAATTGTAGAGCTTGGGTTGGATGAAATCAATGAAAGAGTCATGAAAGAAGAATCCGGTTATGGGAGTAATTTACCATGTTCAACAAGAAGTCCGATTCACACCGGTTCTATACAAGGAGGTACTAGTAGGAAAGTGATTAGTCCTTTGGTTGCTAGGCGAAGAGGTCGTCCAGTTACGAAACGGAAGGTTGCCAAAGTAGATCAAATTGTTAATCGGTTCAAGGCAACAGCAAAAAAACAAACAAAAGCAAAGGTAAATTGTGTATTCAAATGTTTTTGTTGACAAAGTATATTGAAGTATGTAAAAGCAATTCATACATTTCAATATGTAATTATTCTTCAAAACATGCAGGCTGCTAAGTTGCTCCGATTTGAACCTCAAGCTCAAGCTCAAGCTCAAGCTCAAACACCGTATTATCCTTATATGGTTGGCACAGAAAATAGTATGTATGTACCGGTACGTGTTCCAAAGAGGCCTTCATGTACTTTTACATAGTGTATTCGAAAGAGTACTTCATGTACTTTTGCATCTTTGTATTGTTCTAACATGTACTTTTTGCAATGAATTGTCATAGGTGGCCCATGGTATTGGAGGCACATCTCTTACTCCATCGGATTTCATAAGTGGCACACAGGGAAGTTTGATGAGTGCTCCAACTCAGATTTGTGGTTCTGCATCGGGAAACTTGGATATTACAGACTTGTTTGACTAGTTTCTATGTATTCCAACTGTTTGTTTTTGAGATTGGAAATTATGTAGTCTATTATCATGAGTTTCAAACTTTGATGTTGGGAAGATTGGATATTATGTAGTCTATGATTATGAGTTTCAAACTTTGTTATTTAATATACAATGTTTATTTAGCATGTTCAATTTACCATGTTCAATAGTGTACCTGTATTCAACAATAGTTACCTTGTATTCAACAGTTTCCTATATTTAACAATGTCCATTCAATGAGTATTGAAGAAAGTGTACAAATTTGAACAAGCCATTTTCCATTCCACTAACAACAAAAGAGGTACAATAAGTAGGTTTCAATACACAACAAAACATGACTTCCTCCAAAACATCACAAAAGTATTAAGTCTACTTCAACAAGTTCAAGGAGACATCTACATCTACTTATTACATATTCATAAGTTTAAAGGCACCAATTACAAACAACATGGACAACATATATATCAACTTTTGCATCTTTGCGATCTGAATTCGAAGTTGTTCCGTCAGCTGTATTTGTTGTTCGGTCATAGCTTGAAGTCGTTCGGTCATAACTTGTTCGCCAACAGTTGGGACTTCGTCTGTTTGAATTTGATGACCTCCATATTCTGGATTCGTAGGTAAACACCATCCGATAAAACCACAAACATTACAATAGTAGAATAACTTGTTCTTGTTTTGCTCGGTTTGTGATATTTTGATGGTGGCCTTTTTGTTACATGTACGACAAATTCTTTTCACGTATGTCAACCAACCTGAGCTACTACCACTGACACTTGAAGTTGACATCTGCAAAGAGGGACAAATAGCAATTAAAAATAGAAGATGAATGTTGAAGATGAATGATCTTATATATTCAATTAAAAATAGAAGATGAATAGCAATTAAAACATAAATTTGAAATATATATATTCAAATGATCTTATAATTTAGCAATTAAAAATAATACATAAAGGGAGGAAATTTCTGTATACAGAAGATGAATGCTGAAGGTGCAGCTTTACAAGGCTATGGATGACCAGGTTCAGTTTTTTATTTACATTCTTATATATGACGGTGGCTTCGTGTGGACAAAGAACTGAAGAAGCTTGTGGTTTAGGCCACTGCAAATCAGGTAATAGTCTGCAGAGATTGCCATCAAGTCATTCCATAATGATCAATCGTAGGTTTGGTCTCTTAGATGGATTCCCACTCTTCATTTCTAGAGGTCACTGATGCTGATATATGTGTGTTAAGTACAAGTTTGCTTTTAAACTAATGCTACTTGTCTTATTCCTCCCTTGTTTTGAAATTTGCCCCAAATTAATGCTGATACAGGAGGTATAATTAATACTCTTCTTCTCTTAATTTATCTTCAACTTCATCTAAATTTGCCCCAAATTACTCTGATTTCTCTGATATGTATGTGACTATATGTATCATGTATGAATTTATGTATATATAAAAGACATGTAATTTGTGGGTTTGGGTTGCAGATTTTTGGGTTTTAGCTTGAATTCAATGACTAATACTCTTGTTTGGATTTTTGGGTTTTAGATTTTTGGGTTGCACATTTTTAGGTTTTAGTACTCTGATTTCTCTCATATGTATGTATATGTATCATCTATGAATTTATGTATATATATATAAGACCTGCAATTTATGGGTTTGGGTTGCAGATTCTTGGGTTTGATCAGATATAGAGCCCCAAGCTTGAATTCAATGTCAAACTTCAAATTCCTCTAAACTAGTCCAAAAAGTAATCTGATTCCTCTGCTATGTATGTATGTTTGTATATGTGCTATGTACGTTTATATGTATAAATACACTTATATAATTTGTGGGTTTGGATTGTTGATGTTTGGGTTTGAGCATACAGAGAGCCCTAAGCTTGAATTCAATGTCATGTAACTTCAAATTCTTCTGCGTTAGTCCAGAGCAATCTGTATGTATGTATATATGTATAAATAGGCTTATATAATTTATTACAAGACCAAAAAGTAATAGGCTGAAAATGCATACATAGCATTCTTCTGCATTAAACCATCTTCTGGTGCATAGAAATTTAACCAATTGAACCAATTATGCACAGAAATTTCTGTATAATCAAGATGAATCTTGAAATTGATTTAATGAAGAAATATGCACTGGAGAAATTGAACCAATTGATTAAACATTTCGTTGGGGAATTTCATCGAACACGTTTAAGGCAATGCAAGACTTTAACTGAAAAGCCCACAATTCGTAAATGAAAATGCCACAATTCCCAAATCAAAAGGAAATTTCACACATAATAGATAGAAAATTCACAGATAATAAATGAAATTTCACAAATTTCCCAAATGCCACAATTCATCGAACAGGAAATAGATAGATAGATAGATATATATATACGCAGATATACATACAGTTGAAGTGAAGGGAATGAGAGACAGAGAGATTCCACATTTCATCGAACAGGAAATAGATAGATATATATATATATATATAGATGCAGATATACATATAGTTGAAGTGAAGGGAAGGAGAGACAGAGAGATTCGCGAGTGAAGGGAGGGAACGAGCTGTCGGTGTCGGAGTGAAGGGAAGGAGTGGTCGCCGGGGGGAGGGGGAATGTAGACACCCCATTTTTGACCGTCCTCAAGACTTGGACGTCACCGTTTGAACACCCAGTGATCATCCATGTCACCCCATTTTTGACCGTCCTCAAGACTTGGACGTCACCGTTTGAACACCCAGTGATCATCCATGTTTGTGTTCGTTTGGAGTTCCCGAAGGTTTCGGCTACGCGCCTTGCCTCAAGATCTCCGAACTCGACTGTTTAGTGTCTGGTTTTGTACCAAACACTTGTGTTTTGCCGTGGAGGGGCAGGGAATGCCTTGTGAGGCATCCCCACACATCACCGGCCATGGCCAGAAGCCACCGGCTGGTGTTTTGATGCCATCGGCAATATATATTGCCGGTCGGCATTCTTTTTTGCCGGTCGGCACTCAATTTTGACAAAATGGCATTTTTGAGCAGCCGACTACTGTTCATCTGCTTTTGCAGATATTTTATTACAGCTGTATGTCATTTTGTTCCCCTCCATACACGTGTATGGAGGGATGGCTTCCTTGTTGGCTTACCTTGTAAGCTTTACAAGATTAGCTCCTCTATAAGAGGAGCCCTCCTCTCTTGGCTCTAGGTTAGACATTTTAGAGACAAAAAATACAGAGGAGAACTCTGGTTCTAGGGTTAGGATAGTTGTAGCTATTCTATCTCTCTTTTTCTCTCTTGAGTGTTCTAGGTGCATTTGTTCTTAGTATTGCACACAAACACCTACTATTACACCTTCTCTTGGCTACTGAGGTTCTAAGAGGTTGTTCTTGAGGTTCTTGGGTGGTTTTGAGCTTGAAGAACTAGCTAGAGCTTCATCTTTGAAGAAGGTCTACAAGGGTAACAATCTTACTCCTTTATTTCCTATTCTTGCATACTTATTTTGCCTATCTTAGAACTGTTTTTGAGCTTGGTGTATAATACAAAAAAGTTCTATTTTTAGGCCCTCTAAATAGTTTGTTTAGGGTGTTTTGTTGTTTGAGGTCGTTTGATCCCTCCTAAGCCTCGTAAGGCTCCATTTTGTGCTATTTTGTGTAAGCTCCGAGACCTTGGTGTTTGGGCCTCCTCACCATTGAAATCTTGAGGGATTTCAGAGGTGAGGATGGTGCCTTGAGGTCCCAAGAAGGAGAGGGTCACCCCCTCTCCTTGTTGTCCTTGAAATGGACCATTCTTGGCCTCTTGAGGGAGCACCTAGCTAAGCTTCATGTTGGTCATGCCTTAGCTGTTTTTTGTGCCTATTATGTCATAATATGCCTCTGTTTTTAGTTGGTTTTGGTACACCATGCATGCTTAGCATACCTACCTTGTAATGCCACTTTGTTGCCTTAACATGCCTTAAGTTGTAAACCATTGTTCTAGCATGTTTTAGGCTTAGCTTTGTGAAGCTTTTGTGTTTATTTTGCCATGTTTGAGGTCTGTCCTAGGTTGTTTGGGTCGACTTTGACATGCTTAGTATAGCCCCTTTGCATTTTTGGTTTGTTGGCCTTAAGTGTGTGAATGTATAGCATGCATCCTTGCCTTAATTTAGTGGGTTGGGACCATTTGTCATGTTATTTCAGTCCCCTTAGCATGCTTGTATGCTTGCCTTGGATGTCTCTTTGATGCCTCATGAACTTGTGTTATATGCTCCATGTTTTGGCCATTGTACATGTCTTTGAATTTGAGCCACTTAGATGCCATCTAGGGGTCCCCTTTGCATGGTCTAGGTCTGCCTTGGACCTGTTTTAAGCTCTCTTGGCCTTGTGAGGCTTGGTTGGCTTAGCCATGGTTTAAGTCCCTTTGACTTGCTTCAAGTACTTGGGCCATTTATTGCATGCTTAGCTTATCTTGTTTGCTTGATTTGACATCATCTTAACATGATTTTCAATGCTTACCTTGCATGCCATTAGCCCATGTTATGCCTCTTTCAAGTGTACTTAAAAGTAGTCCTTTGATGCTTAAGCATTTTGGCCTTTAACATGTGCATGTGTGTATGTGTATTTGGTCCTTCATTTTGGGCACTATGGCCACTGTTTTGGGCCTAATTAGAGATGTCTAATTCATGTTTAAGTCCATCCCTTGCTTGCTTGCATGCTTACCTTGCATGTTGCTTGCATGCTCGCATGTTCATCTTACATTTCCATGTTGCATCCTTAGCTTGTATGCCTAGGTCGCATTGCATCTAGCATGCATGTCTTGTTCCTTGATCTAGTGATAGGAATTGGACTTTGGTTTGTTGGTTTGCATTGCATTTGACATCAAAATGTGCACACTTGGTCCCTTGGGCCATCACGCATGGAAATGCGCAATTGATGGTCCGAGAACCAAGGAGCATGTCCCTTTGAGTCACTAACAGGATAAGGGACATGATTGGTGCATATATGGCTTGAATTGCATTGCCATGCTCTGCCTTGCCCTCTGTTGCTGTCAATTGCAGATTCTGCAGGAACTTTCTGCCGACCGGCAGTGCTAAGTGCCGACCGGCAATCTCTCTATGGCCGATGGATTCATTCACAGCTGGTGATCACATGCCACTGCCGGTGGCCATTCTATTCAGCCGGTGGTGTCTCCCAATGTCCAGGGAAGCAATCCTGAGACTTTGGAAGTCTTCAGAGGAGTATAGCAGGGAAAACAGAGGCAGCTCATGTATGGCAGTGTACTTCCGAGCGGAACCGAGTATGCATCGCATTGGGCTCTTTTCCCGAGGCGGCTTAAATGTTTTTCCTTCCTAGGTTAGTTAATTTGTTAACTAATTAGGTGGTTTGTAATAATTAATTAGCTTGTAGGTTAATTATCTGTATTATTCTTTTGGTCCCTCCGAGCGAGGACGAATCTGTAATAAGTGTGGGTGAGTGTGTGAATGTCTTCCAACCCCCACTTCTTTCTTCCCTTTTATTTACCTGCTTATGATGGTAGATTATGGCATGTTTAAATTAGCATACCTTAGGTTATGCATGCGTGCATCCATACATTTGTCTCGCATGCATCGGGCTCGGTACATCATGCTAACTGCATTTGTACTTCAAATTCCAAATTGAATACATGCATTAATTGGTTGCATTTCACGCGCCATGTTTAGGTTAGCCGAGCCTACTCTAATTGCATTCTGTATCTGATGTATTAGGCACTTAACATGAACTAGGATCACGCATGTTTGCTAACTAGTTTATTGTTTTGGCACAGAGTACGATGTAAGTATTTATGCTTTAGCATCTCGCATGCGTGTGAATGTTAACATGATAGCATGCTTATCATGTGGCTAGATGCTTATGTGTTATAAATTGTTTGAATGCCTGTGGGTGAAGGTTGGATTGTTTGAGTTGGAAAAACTCGTTGAAATCCGTATTTTAGCCTACTTGCGTGTAGCAAATTCCAAAGTACTCTTTTAAGACAAACGGATATGCAATACTTATTTCCAAATTAGGCAATCTAGTCTATACTTGTTTGCTGTGCGCATAATATAGTAACGCTAGGCTAATAATTGGTTTAAGAACACATAACGTTTTCAAAAACGGATATCATGGTTAGTAGAGGCCGATCTTCGGATCGGGCCAAAGGGGGCGCTCATAGCTGACCTTCCCCAATCGTACCCTAGCTCCCGAGCCGAGACAACTCCGGTGATGACGGACATGTGGCCTTCGGCACCGAGTCAGGGTTTCCTAAATTCCCCCATAAAAAATATTTAGGTGGCCACTCTGTATCTGACAAAGCAGTCCATGTTTCGCATTTCTTTCAAAAAATCTGTTTTCTCAAAACGATTTGCCGGATTTGGACTCTTTGGTTCAGATTAAGAACCGTGACACAAATCGAGTCCGAACTGTAGTAGCGGGGCCCCACGCGGGCGTGCTACAGGGAAATTTCAAATGAAATGCGAACTGTTTGTTTGGTCTTACAGAGTCACAGTCACGTGATTATCACGTGAGTGCCACGTCACTGAGGGTGACTGGGGGTCAGGGTAACTGGGGGTGGGAAGCATTTTTGAAACATTTATGATGTGGGTGTATGTAACGTTTGGGAAAAGCTTACTATAACTTTCAAACGTTTGTGGGTATATGTAATGTTTGTGAAAACATTTATGATGTCGGTGTATGTAACGTTTGAGAAAAGCTTATTATAACTTTTTTATGATGTTGATGTATGTAATGTTTGGAAAAAGCACATTTTATGATGTGAGTGTATGTAACGTTTGGAAAAAGTTTACTATAGCTTTTTTATGATGTGGGTGTATGTAACGTTTGGGAAAAACACATTTATGATGTGGGTGTATGTAATGTTTGAGAAAAGCTTAATATAGTTTTTTTACGATGTGGGTGTATGTAACGTTTGGGAAAAACACATTTATAATGTGGGTGTTTGTAACGTTTGGAAAAAACTTAATATAGCTTTCTTATAATGTGAGTGTGTGTAACGTTTGAGAAAAACTTACTATAGCTTTTTTTGGGTTTAGTAGTGTATGTAGGGGTGTCCACGTTATTTATGACCCACACGTTTCAACCATAAAAAAAAAGGGCACATTAGTAAGAAAAACTATTCCATAATTACATAATGGGATCCTTCGGATCATATTACCAAAAAAATAAGATTTGGACGTCTATTAATTTTAAAATGAGACTCGATAGACCACAACTCTCAAAAAATAGGAGTTTCGAATAATTTTTCCTAAATTTTAATAGCTTGCCTTTAATTTTTTGTTTTTTTGTTTTTGCTGGTCTTTGCCGCTTGGACCATTAAAAGAAAACCCTACCTCACCTATTCTTTCTTCCCTCTCTCTCAGACTCTCATTTTATTTCTTCACGGAGAGTTGAAGAACGGGGGAGATACCAACAACGACGAAGTGCAGCCACCAACAACGACGCCATCCTTTCGATAAGCTTCGACGCCACACAAAACTGGTAGATCCCTCTCTGTGTTTGTATTTGTGCATCAATTTGTCTATTTTTGGTCACTCGTTTGTTCGATTACCACTCAAAACCGGTGGATCTATGAATTTAAAATTTTTCTTAATAGATTTGCTAAATATGTTTATTTTGGTGAAATTTTGTGTATATATTTGTTTGGGTTAGTGAAATTTTGTTTATATATTTGTTTGGGTTAGTGAAATTTTGTGCTGAAGTGCCATACGCAACATTGTTTTGTTCTTGCATATGGTTCGTGTTCTCGGGTCTAACGGAAATTCTGAGTTTTCCACAAAATAACCATTGTTGCAATGTTTCCTTCTATGCAGTTGCAAATTGCAATGCAACTGTGATGTATATAATAATTATATTGATTCACATTAAAAATATATATATATATAATCTGGGATTGCATTTCTTGTCTTTGGTTTAATTAAAACAGAGTCGTATTGAATTAGAACTCTGTTGAATGTACTTATGTGTATAATGAAACACTGCTTGTTGTATGGAAAAATTGAGAAGTTGTTGGGCAATTCGGACTAAACCGAGTTCAAATTATGAAGCTTGGTCCGGGCTTGGGCGCTGCCAAACACAATTCGTGCTGGGCTTGGGCAAACCTCCAACCCTACCAAGCCCGCCCTAGTTGCACCCCTAGGTGTCTGTCATTCAATACAAGACACAGGCATAGTAGTGAAGTTCTAGGGTTTTGTTTAGGTTTCCCTCCCTTTTTCGATCAGAGTAGAGTACACCACACTACAGAGCTAATTTGCTAGGGTTTCTCTCTCTGTGTGTTTTTCGTAGTTGGAAGAAAATGGTGTATGGAATGCCATCGTATGGGATACAATCAATGCTTAAAGAAGGGCACAAGCATCTATCTGGACTGGATGAAGCTGTGCTCAAGAACATTGATGCTTGCAAGCAGCTCTCTACCATCACCAGAACTTCTCTCGGTCCCAATGGTACTCCTATTCTCTTTGTTTCTCTCTTCTCTCTTTTAGATCTCTGCATACTCTCATAATTTTCTCCATGCCTTTTACTTTGACAAGATTTGTACATTCACTTGCATGTATGCAAACTTTTGAGTATCTAACTGATAATCAGTGCCACAAAAACAAGGTGTAAATATATATGTGTGTGTTAATGAAAACGGATATGTAAAGAGGCTACTTGTTTTCTGAAATGTGTAGATAAGTAGATTTGCTTGTTTATGATTTACATATTTCAAAATTTTGTCATCTAAATATTAAAAAATATTCGTTCAAGTACTGGATTTGAGTTAATTGTCATTCAATTTAACATAAAATAGACATCATTTTGAATTTCCAGAGAGTTTGTTGGTCCCTTTATGTACTATATTACTTAAACATTGGTGTGTGGAAACAATTACCACTTAAGTTTTGTGAGGAATTAAAACTTGAATTGCTTGATTGAATAATTTGAAGGGGGAGAACATTCTACAACACTCTAACCATCAAATGCTAGTACCCTGTGTTTGAACCAAGGGTTTGGGCAGGGATTTGTAGAGGGAATATAAAAGGAAAAGGGAAGGTGAATGAAATATCTAAGTTTTCTTCTATATTTTATTTTTTGGGTTAAATCCTTAATCGAAACAAAGCCTGTAGGGGGGGATCTTTATGCAATACTTACTTCAATTAAAGATGGTAGGGATTTGTAGAGGGAATATAAAAGGAGAAGGGAAGGTGAATGAAATATCTAAGTTTTCTTCTATATCTGTGGTTTTTGCTATTGTAGAAGCAGTTGAAGTCTTAATTTTTCACTTAGTGAATTTCTGGAATATTCCATCATTCTCTTTTTATTGTGAATGCATTAATATATTCAGGTATGAACAAGATGGTTATCAATCATTTGGACAAGCTTTTCATTACAAATGATGCTGCCACTATTGTGAATGAACTTGAGGTTCAGCATCCCGCAGCCAAGATTTTGGTTTTGGCGGGCAAGGCTCAACAGGAGGAGGTAGGAGATGGAGCTAATTTGACAGTTTCGTTTGCGGGGGAGCTCCTTCAAAATGCTGAGGAGCTCATAAGGATGGGATTGCACCCAAGTGAGATAATCATAGGCTACACGAAAGCAATTAATAAGGTTTTGCCAATCTTACTGTGTCCGGAATCACTGGTATTTCTTATGTACAAAAAGTACAAGTAATTGTTCTATCTCATTATCTCTTACCATGCTTGCAGACTGTTGAAATCTTGGATGAATTGGTTGAAAAAGGTTCTGAAAAGATGGATGTAAGGAACAAGGATGAAGTTATTAAACGAATGAAAGCTGCTGTTGCTAGCAAGCAATTTGGGCTGGAGGATATTTTATGTCCTCTTATTGCTGAGGTGAATCTTCCCTACCTTTGCCGTTGTTGTTTTTAGCAATAGCATCAGGTATATTAGATTCTAACTACCAGTATATGGCTGCAATATAGGCTTGCATACAAGTATGCCCCAAGAACCCTGCAAACTTTAATGTGGATAATGTCCGGGTTGCAAAGCTTTTGGGTGGAGGTTTGCATAATTGCACTATTGTTCGAGGTATGGTTTTGAAGAATGATGCTGTTGGGTCCATAAAGCGAGTAGAAAAAGCCAAGGTAGGCTCCAATCTATCCATTTTCTTAAAGTCTTTCCAGTTTTCACAGACATTTTTCTCTCACGCACTGATGTTGAACCATAGGATATATTGCAATTTTTTTTCCACCTATGATCTTATCTTGAATTTCTTCCAGTTCTCTAGTTTTTTTACTTTTATTTTTTCCCTAGAGGAAAATTTCAATTTTCTTTTTGTTTGATGCTTGGAATAGGATAGGGAACTTAGTTTAGTACTTGTCATTCTCTGACTGCTATTCATATATAAGTTTAAACTTTTACTTGCTATTATTAACCTTTATTTGGATGCTACTGTTTTTATTATTGATATGGAGCGTAAATGATATATATGGTGGAATGGGTTTGTGGAATTTCTCTAGTAAGGAACTAATTTGAAGCATTATCAAACTCCAATGTTTTACATGTAGAATGAATTGTTATTGGCACTTTTTGTTTGATAAATTAAATCATTGTGATTCCGTCATGGGAAAGAATTTAGGTGTGTTCATGGACTGAATTGGTATTATTTCAAAGTGGATTTGGCACCAAACCGATCCCTATAGTTCGAGAAAACTTGGAACCAAAACCAGACTGTTGAAGCTATGCAACTGACCCAGAACCAAACTGTAGAAATTAGTTTGGTTCGGTTTTCATTCTATAGTTCAAGGTTATTTTGTTCCAGAAGGTCCGAAATATAAATCAATAGAAGATCAATTAATTGCAACAAAATTTAACATAAAAGTCTAAAGTGTGCATGTGTGTATAAAAATATGTAAATCTACTTGGTTAGATTAAATGTGATATCAAATTAAATTGGGTTGATCAATTTACAGCCTTTGTGGAAGCATACCATTGTATTACATGTTTCTTGAAGTTCTCTTGCTACTCGATTAGATAAAAGGCCCAGATGTGGGTCTCCAAAGCGTACTATTCAAACCTGAACTAGGACCGGGAACAAAAATAAGAATGGCATCTTTTAACGATTATGATCTTGAGGGTTAAACCATTGTAACATATTATGGGGTTTCTATATAGCCTTGTGTAGCTCAACTTCTTGCTTGCAGTATTTGCATAATTCTTTGGTGGGCATATTATTCTGCAAGTCACCACAAGATGTTTAAATTAGGCAATTTCTGACTTGTGGCTGTGTACAAACTCATGGGTCCTTGCCCTTCTCTATTTCCCTTGTTTTTCCACATTTTAAATGTTGCTTAGAAGTTTATATCTACCTGACGCGAGATAGATTACACTCATCAACTTTTAGTGGACTAACTGCTATCAATAATATTCTATGATCATTATTTATAGATTACACTCATCAACTTTTAGTGGACTAGCTGATATCAATAATATTCTATGATCATTATTTATGAAAAAAATAATAAGAATAATATTCTATGATCATTTTGATCATGTAATTGCAATTGATGGTAGGTTGTAATTGTATTTTTGTGCTTGCATCTTAAAAAGCTCGTTGTGAAATGGGTTTTATAGACTATCAACACAATTCTTTGGCCGTATGAGCAAATTATGTGAATGACGACTTTATATGTATAGGCTAAAGAGGCATGGGTATATTGCTTTGAAGTGGAAATTCATTGTGCATCAAGTTCCTGAACTTCATTTTTTATTCATAATTTTGTAGGTTGCCGTGTTTGTTGGTGGTGTTGATACATCTGCAACTGAAACAAAAGGAACAGTCCTTATTCATAGTGCTGAGCAGGTACATTCTCGATGAAGAAATTGTTGGGTTGATCTCCTGTCTACATTCTACCATGTGCTTTCTGTACTTTACTATTTCTGATGTCTTCCTTAGATAATCAAGCCTAATTCTTTTTACTTTTGGTGGGGGCGGGGGTGGGGGTGTTGTGTGTGAACCTCAAAATGCTTCTTTTCTTATAATGTGCAAAATTATCTCGATACATAATTGACTTGTTTACTACTTATTCAAAGCTAATAAATGAAAAAACTGTAAGTGTTGACAAACTGCTTATCATCTTGCGAGTGATAGTTTAGTTGATAACTTGGAGTTTGACTGCCTGCTTAGCTTATTGGACTCACTCTTTTGATTGCAACATGTGTTTTTTAGTTAACTTATTGGTTGTGAGTCTGGATAGGGTATTTGTGCATTGAGTTGAGAATGCTTTTAATATATTTTTTCAGTTTCCCCAAAGGTCCTGGCTTTCGATAATATTTGATTGTTTGTTTGTTTTGGTTTGGAATGAGTTGCTGTCATTCAAAATTGAAAGAATTTCTGCATAAGTTTTCCACTCAGTGTTAGTTGAGTAACGAATTTGCCTTGCGTGTAAATTCCTCAAGAAATATAGGATCCAACTAGCTCTGAGAATGGGCAGATGTTAATGATTGCTAATTTTTTCATTGGTGCATATTGCTGACAGAGATGATGTCTCATGAGATGATTTATTGAGATGGCATCTTCTTAGTTTCCTTCTTTTCCTATTTGCCTCTGGTGAAGGACTATATGTTGTGATGTACATTATATCTTGGTTCTCTTGTTGGATGCACCAGTTTTTACGTAATTCTTCGTTAACTGTTCTTTGGATTGTCAATGCATGCTTGGATTCAGATATTTTTCTATAGCTTTTTTGTAATAGTTGATGGATATACTTGTAGTCAGATATTGTTTGTATAGCTTCTTTCATTATTTGATACTAAATTTTCCTGGCGATCTTCCTCTTGTCATTTTGGAATCCTCCAGCTAGAGAATTATGCAAAAACTGAAGAAGCCAAAGTTGAGGAACTCATCAAAGCAGTTGCAGACTCAGGTGCCAAGGTTATTGTTAGTGGAGCAGCAGTTGGAGAGATGGCACTGCATTTCTGTGAGCGTTACAAGTATAGTCTCTCCATTGTCTCCCCAAATTTTTTTTTTCTTTTGTCATTTCATTTGCTATCATGTTTCTATTGAACCTGTGGCCAAAAGTGTTTACCAACAATTGTGGTGTGAATAGTTTTGAAAGATGATTAATGCTTCATGTTACACAATTATTTTGCCAGTTGGAATGGTCCTTATTACATGTGTATGATTCTCACTGCTTATATGCAACATATTAGAATCGTAGCTAAGGCAACACTGTAAGGATATGTGTATATTCGGAGACATACAATATTCTTTTCCTTCTGAAGCAGCAACTGATTTTTAATGAACTGTTGCAATTATAACTCAATATTTTTTTCTTCCACTTTCGTAGTTGGTGAAGTGAATAATGTCCCTTAAATAAGCCTCTAGTGATGCATTTACAGAGATCAGCTATCATTCTCACATCCTCTCTTGTATTCCTGTCTGTGTATGTATAATATTTTTGGTAAGCGTTTGTGTATCCATGTCCATTAGACAATATCATCTACATCTTTTTTATTTGTCATTATTTTATTTTATTTCCTTTCCTTTTCTTTTTCTGTTGATTTTATTCTGATTGGCATGGATGATGCAGTGTTGTCATTCCCCATCCAATTTGAAGCCAAGTTCTATACAGGAAATTTCTATGATGTAGTGCTACCACCTTACATATGCTTTTCCGGAGGTTCTCTTAAGCCTGCTTTACTAATCTAATTCACAACAAATTTATTCACAGGCTTATGGTCTTAAAAATCAGCTCCAAATTTGAACTGCGACGATTTTGCCGTACAACTGGTGCTGTTGCTCTTGTAAGCATACTAGCGCATTTGCATTTCATTTGGTGCAAAAATTTATTTGACGTCTTTCTCATGTTCTTATTAAATTTTGGAAACAGTTGAAGCTTGGCCCACCAAATCCAGATGATTTGGGGTACGTTGATTCTGTGTCAGTGGAGGAAATTGGTGGTGTTAGGGTATGATCAAGCTGCTTTTGGTTTTAAATTTTAATTTTGTTGGGCTTTTTCCTTTCGTTTCTTCATCTTCTCCCCCAACATGATCTTTATATCTAATAATAATAGGTCACCATTGTGAGAAATGAAGAAGGTGGAAACTCTGTATGCACTGTGGTCCTACGAGGAAGTACCGATAGTATATTGGATGACCTTGAAAGAGCAGTTGATGATGGTGTGAATACATACAAGGTAATTTTGTCTATAACACGTCTATGATACTTATTTTAGGTAGGTCATCTTTTACCTGTCATTTTTGTTTGAATCGATTCTTCACTTCATAAAAAGTGTTGCATATTGATGTTTAAAAAAAAAGTGTTGCATCAGTTTCTCCTGAACCTTAAGGAGCTAATCTGAATGTGGCTTTATGCATCTTTGTGCCAGGCAATGTGCAGGGACAGCCGTATGGTACCTGGAGCTGCAGCTACTGAAATTGAGTTGGCTAGAAGACTGAAGGAGTTTTCTTTTAAGGAAACAGGGTACATAGTTTCCTCTCTCTCCATAGAAAGATAGATATGATGCATGGGTATATTACGAGATATGCCATGTTGAGATATATTTTATGATGTATATATTGTGATGCATGGGCGAGAATGTTTGTGATGCTCATGGGAGTGCCTAATTTAATGTTCTCTTGTACTTCAGCGTTGGGTGAATTGTCTATATATCTTTTTAGCATGTCCAACATGCTACATCTCTGTTTTTGGAGATCTGTGTAACATTATGGCAGATGATGACAGTATCTTGGGGAGGTTCCAGAGAAGAAGCTTGAATTCTGTTTTGATCATGTTTGTCAAAATTGTGCTTCTTCTTAGTTGTTACTCATCTTACAGCAGGCTTATTCAGCACATATTAGTGTCATTTCCACCCCCATTTATCATTTGAGACAATTATTTTACACATTCTAAGATCATGGTTGTTTAAATCCGGATCCTATGTAGGATTGGTGAGAGGGTCTCGTGCTTAAGATTCTGCTTTCTATTAAAAGTAAGATAAAAAATGCAAACAAGGGTGATGAGTATTAAAAGGTGAAAACTCAAAAACTCAGCATCTTACTTACAATCCTACCTATGATCCTACACGATCCCACACTATCCTACTTGCGATCCTGCTATAACACCGATTCTACAACGATTTAGATCGTTTTGGCAATTTACGATCTTACGATCCTACGATCTAGATTGCGATTTTGATAACCATGTCTAAGATGTCTGTGCAAAATAGATGTTACCTTTCTGATTTGTTGATTGGTGCTTATCTCAGCTGATGGCTATATTTCAAAACTGTACGTTTTATTATTACCTCTGCATTGGATATTTCTTCTTCTAAACTAATGATTGTGAACTGGCTAAATATGTAGTTTTTCTTCTTTTGCATAAAGATTCACTGTGTGTAGTGTTTCCACTAGCTCGGTGATAGGATTTGACACTCTTTGTTTGCAGATTGGATCAATATGCTATTGCAAAATTTGCTGAGAGCTTTGAGATGGTACCTAAAACCCTGGCTGAGAATGCTGGCCTGAACGCAATGGAAATAATATCTTCTTTGTATGCTGAACACGCATCTGGAAACAGCAAGGTAGGCATTGACTTGGAGGAAGGTGTATGCAAGGATGTCTCGCCCATGAATATTTGGGACCTGCATGTCACCAAGTAAGCTACTTCTCACTGTCTTAAAGCCATTTATTCTTTCCTTCTAAGAGCTTCTGCAATGGTATGGTAAAAAGCTTGCTGTTGTCAAAATATAGCATGGTATATATGGTATAAAAATCTTTGTTTGCTTATATATAGTATATGTATCATGTTTTTGGTGTATATTGGTTATGAACTTGGGGGGACTTTTAACTAGTATATTTGTCTGCGTTTTGTTTTTAAATTTTCATACTAAAGCAATTTACAGATATTAACTTGGTTATTGTGATCCAACCTTTTCTTTTTTGATCATATTGTGTGTACCTGAAGTATTTGTCCAAAGTGTTTTGACGCTGAGGCAAGGTTGGACTTGTGCTGGCCTTTAACACTAATATACCCTGCCTGAGTAGTTCTGAAAATACAATTACGGATTCACTGTTACTTAGATGAGGGATTGGTATGCATGCCCTGCTAAAACTTTGACTCATTTTTTGTGATGCAAACTATTTTGCTGTTTACAGGTTTTTTGCTCTCAAATATGCTGCAGATGCTGCTTGCACTGTGCTGCGTGTAGATCAGGTAAGCCATTAACTGCTGGTTTCATGGTTTATTTCTTCTGAGATACCACCTTTGAATTGACTATTGAATCCCTCATATCTGGCTGTTCAATTCATCCTTCTTAATGATTTCATTTTGAGGGGTAAAGTTCATAAATCAAGATGTGATGGGATTTATTTGGGCCATAAAAAGGAACAAATCAAAGAACTAAAGAATTCAGAGGCTCCTTGAACAAACTTGTTCAAATCACAATGCAGTAATAGGTCATTAATATAATACTGAATAGGTGTAGAGAATGAATTCTCTTGAATGAACAATAGGCGAAGTACTGATCCCTAATGGGAAGAAATATTTTTATTTTGTGATGGACAACGAGTTCAATGAACATGTATCATCAAAGACTATAGGATTGGAGTGCGCAAAATATAGAGAAAAATACAGGGAATTTAAACTTGAGAATGTTGTAGACACTTGTAAAATTTGTCCAATAATACATAAATCAAGGGGTACATTTTGGCAAAAACGGCTGTAATGTATATTTTGGCTTTTGGGAGGGGAGACCAAGTAAGAGAGCTAAAGAGAAATGAATAATGAACTTTAAAACATGTAGTTAATGAATATGCATGACAGGAGATGACAAAAATTTAAGCGGAAATTACAACAGTGGGAAATGGGGAAATATTTACCAAAAGATGGGGGGTGCACCTCTTGCTGTGGTTTTGTTGCACAGAAAAAGTTGCAGCCCCATGTGTTTGTAATTATTTTTGGTTTTTTACACTGAATTGTATTTTCCCCAAAATTTAATTAGGTGTCACACTGAAAGACACATCAGTCAGAACAATATTTGAAAAACTCAAATCAACTGCTGAAAATGATTTTGGGCATTGTGGTAAAATCTCCATTAGCGTGTGATGCCAGTGCCATCACAGATTTACCCGTGTGATCCACTAGAGTGTTGAGTGGAAATTGGTTGAAATGTGGATTTGATGCTCTGGTTAAAAAGCAGAACTGTTGTTTCCAAAACTTTTTTTATTTTGTTTGTTCTGGTGGGGAGGGGAATTTGGTTTGACAGACCAAAACCAAAAGGCCACTTAGAGCTGTCACCAAATACGGAAATGATTTGTCCAGTGATTTTCAGTCTATTTATTGGAGCTTATTGTTTTCGCAATATTTAGTTTTTTTCTTTTGGAAGCGTAATGTCAACCCATGCAGTCCACTCGGTGTCATTTCTTTAATTAAATCATCCCTTGACTTGTATATACTGCAGATTATAATGGCAAAACCAGCTGGTGGACCAAGGAGGGAGCAGCCTGCTGCGGGGATGGATGAGGACTAAGGTTTTGTATGAGCTCGGGGCAAGTGACTGTAATGACCATGCTTGGGCAATGTTTTTGTTCTTTTTGCATGCCAAAGACTCGGTCTAAGAAATTTTTGTTTTAAAATGGCGTAGATGGTGTTCCTTGTATAATTTACTTGTATTTTATTTTTTTGAAAAAAAAAAATTGAAGTTTGTTTATGGGGTGATCTTAATTTTTCTTGTGTTAGTGCTGTGAACTTAAAACTGATACCAGGGATACCACTTGGCATTAGCATTTAAATTGTTCAGTTGAAATCTTAGAGCCTGATTTCCAATTACTGTCGGGGGCAGATTTTATCTTTTCAAAATTTTTTTTCCCAGCCAGTGGGTGAATTTCTCTTCAAAATAGAAATTGTAACAACTAATTTGTGTGCTCTAACTATTAGCACTGTTTCAACGCATAATTTTCAGGTGTCAACTTCACAGATGTTGACTAAGAGCCCAAGTAACATTGAACCAAATAGTATGGGGAAAAAGAAAACATGCATGTATTTAATCTTTTTCATAGGCATTTTCTTGATGACTTGATAAGCATTGGCCTAACAGCATCAACCAATACCCACTAGCCATCACACATTACTCACCCATTTTACTGAAGCACTAGTATTACTGGTATGATTGCTTTCTCTACAATTTTGTTCTTTGGCGAAATTCTCAGTCCACGAGCACATCTGCTAGCCCCTATCCAAACTGGCTGTCACCCAATACCAGCCACCGACCTCTCCTCTCTTTTTACACTCGTTTTCTCCTCCAATGGGCTGTCTCCGCCACAGCCATCACCATCACTGCCCACAATCTATTTCTAGCTTTGCAGCCACACTTGTACTCCAATTGTTGACCCCTCCATTTTTCCCCCTCCTCTTTCTCTTTTATGTTGTACGGTTTCACCTCTATATTTTCCACTCACCTTCAATAGCCATTATGTGAGAGAGTTGTATTATAATTATATGATGGGGCTTATTTTCCACTCACCTTCAATAGCCATTATGTGAGAGAGTTGTATTATAATTATATGATGGGGCTCATCTAGGGACGCGAATGATTCAATGCTGATTGGATGAGGAGATTACCATGGTGGTCCTATATTATTTGATCCAATTGGGAGTTATCTATGAATTCTGAATGATACCACTGTACATTTTTCAACAATATGTCAACATTGTTTCCTCTTGGTGTGACGTAACTTTTACTTGCTTAGGATAATTCAGTCCACATTCATAAATTTTTTTGTTTGGATATTTTGTTACTGATTCACTATTATCTTGAATAGAAGGGAAAAAGATAAAAAAAAAAAAAAAAACACGTTTCATTGTTTCACCCCATCATCCATCTGTTATGATTCTCAGCAGGTTGAAGCCCAAGGCCAATGCCTGGTCTAGTGGGGTCATCCTCTTCCCTTTTTCCACTGGCAACCTCCTCAATTTTGATGACTCCAAATTTACAACTATGCACCAGAAATCTGCTGCTGCAAATTTTGGTGCCTCGGTGGGTATAAAATCAAGCAAAGTTCATATTCTGTAAAATGCTTGATCCAAACCCCCAGTTCAATCAAGTTCAGGGGGAACGAGCATCGAAACCTTAATGGGTCATGCTTGGTTTAAGAAATCACTGCCATTAAACTGCTCTGCCCCCATATTTTTCATTATAGTACCAACCAAATAATGCAAACCCACAACTGTCATAAATGTGTTTGATATAATTTCATACCTTTTGGTCATGTTTGATTCACAAGACTAATAGTGAAGTATTAATAGCCTTATTAAATTAGTATAGTATTCACTATCCAATTAGATTAATATAATAATCCTACAAATTTGTTGGATTAATTATCCATTAGATTAATAATCCTAAACCAAAATATTAAAATAATTGGACCCACGGATTAATAATCCTATTAGATTAATAATCCTAAACCAAAATGTTAAAATAATTGGACCCACGGATTAATAATCCCAATCCCATGCTCTAATCCACCCAATCAAACATGCCCTTTGGGTTGGACTTACCAGGGCTTCTCGAGCCAACGTTGAATGGGAAGACAGAGAGAGAAAATTTATGTCGGCAACGAAGATTAAGAAGAAGGTGGCAGGGGTCGGAGAGAGGATAGGATACAAATTTGGTTTGCTATCACTGGAGTTGGTGTTGGCTGTTTGAATCTGATCCTGGTGAAAATCAAAGCGAGGGGAGGGGAGTGAAGAGATGAAAAAATTGTTTATTTATTTATACTATTTATTGGGACATAAGAGACCATTGCTAGATTGTACCTTTTTAATTGATGTATTATAAAAATGATGTTATTTACACTTAGACATTCCTCTTTTCCATTTACACTGAAATCACCTATCATCTCATGAACACAAAATCAAAATTCACAATTCATACACCAATTCAATTATTAAATTGATAATGCTAACATAATAATATAAATGTTAATATTAGTTTTAATGGTTTGCACATTATGATATTGTGATTATACCAATTTTTATAAATGTATTTGAGAATTAACATAATTTTTATAAAAAATATTTATTATTTTGTATTACATATATTGCGACATAAAGTTTAAAATAATTAAATATATGCACATAGACATAAATGTAAATAACTAAATTTTATATAATTCTACATAATTATCAACATCTCATCCGAGAATATTATATAATATAAAATATGTGAATGTGATGCATTCTTGTACCTATATCCAATTTTGGATACGTATCCCAAGATCCTAAGATTTAAATTTATGAAGGTCTGACACTTAGATACACACCCGCACTTGACACTCGTACCAGTATCCATGTAACATAGGGTATCCGACACGGATATTTGATTTATTTGGAAGAGTCTATGTAACATAAATGAGAATTACTTGAAATTTATAAAATATCCAAATATTTCCAACCCATGGCCGTAGTGAACACGTGCTGCTGGCCAAAGAAGATAAATCTTCGATCTTTAAACAAGATTCATAATTGAGGGAGACATATTTCAGTAAGAGCTTTGTAAACTACTTATTTTATGTGGTTATTTGGGATTTTCTAATTGCTGAAGTCTGGACATTGTTAAAATTAAGTGCTCTTTACTTGAAGTTTCTCTTTTATGTTGAATTATGTTGGCAAACCCTACCCTTACGCTGTGTTTGGTTTGGGGATTTGGGAGGGGAAATGGAAAGGGAAATGGAAATGAAAGGAAAAGGAGAAAGAATTAATAGAATTTCAAATCCCAACTATGTTTGGTTGTGTTGGTTATAAAATAGAATTGATGTCCTAAAAGGTATCCTATTTCTTTATTTATTTCTCACCCCCTTTCTTTTCTCATATATTTTTTATTATAACCAAACATAAATAGGATTACATTTCTCATTCCTTTTCCAAATCTCACCTCAAAAACTCCAACCAAACACAGCATTAGTCAAGATCACATTTGGATTCAAAACCCAACACCTCCCCTCCCAATTTTTTGGTTTATATATGACCATGTACTACAATACTAACAGTTAATAAGCATCTAACAACAGTTTCCCATCTTTAAAAATTTTAATACAAAAATTTTGATGTATGATTGCATGCATGTTTATGTTCCTATATACATATTAAAAAAGAGAGTTGTTTAGTAAAGTACCCTTGTTAAGCAATTTGCTAATCTAGTGTTGGTTCATAATTATTGTTAACATATGTGAATCATTATCTGTTATTTATGATGGAATAAGGATGTCTCTTCTAGTAGGGGAGTAGTCTTATCAAGTTATTAGATGAAGGTTATTCAATTCAAAATGTTGTAGGTGGCATTTTTGTTGGGTATTAACATCATTAGAAGTGTTATGTTAATTCCATTGTAAAACTTAAACTATATGTCATGAAAATGTTATTCAATATGTTGTATGCGTTTTCATTTTCAATCTGCAACTGTTTTAACTTGTTACCTATATGCTAAATTTGTGTAATCTGCAGTGCTTGCTAGTGAAAGGATGGAAGGGAACAAGCTGGAGTTTTCCCCGTGGGAAAAAGAACAAAGATGAGGAAGACCACGCATGTGCCGTTAGAGAAGTAAATATTCTTGTTTCTTATGGAATTCTTAGTTGTTCTCATAGTTATAGTAATTAGCAATTCGTATTGAACACTAGTTTTTACAAGACCTGAATTGGTGACGTGATTCCAAACAGGAGAACTTTTTTTCCTTTCTTTTCTCTTGACATTCTTTATTCTTTAGCTTTAGGCCAGAAACAGAAAGAGTTTAACTTAATTAATTAATCGATGTAGAAACTTATTCCATTAATATAAAATTGAACAAAATGTCAGAGAGGGCATAATTTTCTTTTTAATTATTATTTATATATGTAATGTGCTGTTGTTGATGCCGGTTTTGAAATCCTCCATGTTTCCTAAAGGCCTGTGGAAGAGATGAAAGGGTAATATGCTTGATTTGATGATTCATCATTTCTGCAGTGCATCAAGCTTTCCTAATAGGTTGTCCTTGGGATGCATACTATTAATCAAACAAAATAGCTGTCAGTATACCCTTGAAACTAGAGCACCTTTCTTGAACCTTGAATAAATATTCTTCAATTAAGGCTTCTTTTTGGGTGGGTGCTGAGTGCTGACTGATCTATTTGGATCCCCATGAAAGGGTCTCCATCTCTAATAACAAAATGAAACTGATAGTTCCACTCATTGGAAACGACTGTATGCCTGCTTTGGATTGCTCACATTGCTCTTCTCGGATCTACAATCTTGAGCTGAGCTAACAGTCACCTCATTGAAATTCAACTTAACATGCCATGATGATTCTTTCTCACTAATCTGGCTTCTTTTTACTCTGCACTGTTACTTGATCTTCTCTATTACTAAGAAATGAATCTCCAGAACTTTTTCCCCCCCTGAACCCTTGATAAAATCTTCAGAGTCTGGACCTCCTTTTAGATACTTCTAAAATTGTGCTCTTCACCAAACAATAGTTAAACCATTCCCTTTTGCCCCTGCAAAGAAAGCCATTCCGAAGGTGTCTTAACTTTTCTACCGCTTGAAGTTGGAATGGTGAGTTTGCATTTCATGTCAGTTGGTTACAAAATTACAATAATGTCCCTTATCGAGGCTTGCAATGACCTAGTCAATGCCTTGTAGGCTTCTCTTTGATCAAGTAGTTGGGGGTGGAATTGGATTTGGGGCCTTTTAGTACCATTGCTTTTGGTTTTGATTTGGAATTCCATCATAAATCTGAGAATTGTATTCTAGATATAATGACGATACATAAATCCCAGTGAATAGATTTAACTCACCGA